ATGTAATGCATTTGTGTTGCATCTCATATGCATCTAATATTTAGTGGTTTTCATTAAGTAAACCAATGATTGACTTACTTTTGAGAATAAATAAAATATTTGTTCAGATTTTGATAATAGAGAGACAATCAAGAAGAGAGTGATTACATTATTTATATAATATTACATTATATGTTGAGGTAAATAATCTCCCGGATTGTTTGATTAACTAATCACTAGTAAACTAAATGCAATAACAATTCCTAAAAAATAAATTTAATAATAAAATTGATAACTTTTCGTGTGATTAAATTGACAATAAATTTATTAATTATAGAAAACATTATTGATGTCAGTATTATTGCAAAATTCCTATTCAAATCATTCGGTTAATTAGATTTAAGCTAAAAGTAATTTAGGATTGCTCTGACTTGTGAGACTTGTCCATAATTTGTGTCATAACAGTCATAGCAAATGGATATTTAATGCTTTATATGCTATACATAATCATGTAAATAGACTACAACTGATGAGTTTAATCATGGATTAGACACTTTATCCTAATGTGGTTTGAGAAGAGAGCTGTCTCATGGAATGAGAGAGAGAGAGAGAGAGAGAGAGATTGCTATCCATAATAAATGAAGATATGATGGTTTCGGATCGGATAAAAATATTGTCGACAAATCCGGGAATTAGATACACATTAATCTATTGGGAAACAAAATGCCATTATTATTATTGCTGACAATGTTTGTAATACGAGACCACAATTTTTAATACCTGATATACATTTTGAAAATATCTGTATATTTGACAAATAATTGGTTATAAATCTAAATATTAGTTTTAATATCTAATGCATACTTAGACAATGTGTATAACAATCATGTTTAAAACATCTAATCATTATTTTATAAGAAATTATTATTGTAAATATTCTACCAGTTACCTCAAAAATTAATAATGAATAATTTTTAAATTAATGTTACCATTGAAAAATTATAATAAAAACCTAAGATAACTAGGTAACTTTAGTAACTATAATTGACAAGTTTAGTCTGTATGTGGGCTCAAATCTCGACCAATTTATTGATGTTTTATGTGTTGGTAATGATTATCTTGTGTTTCACTATCTATGCTAATGTACATTACGTAAACACAACGTAGAGTATACGTAGATTATA